TGTGTGTGTGTGTGTGTTCATTACGTATAAACATTAAGTTTTCATCTGCTGTTAGTTTTATATTTTCTGCTCTATCGCGTCGTCGCAAAAGCAATGGGTTTTAAACAACAAATCGACGCCATATGCAGGGAGAGTCGCGTTGGGATTTCGGCGAGTGAATTTTTAGAGTGGAATAGCTGCAAACATGCATCATCGCCTATAGCCAACATGGGCAGACGATTCAGTTACAAGTACGAGCGAATAGTAGAGCGCTCGCCCTGATGAAGGCCAATCAGAACCAGAGCAGCGAAATTATTATAAAGAGACGCTGCCATAAAGAAATAGTGCACGCGTGTGTGCGTGTGTGTGTCTCTATTTTTCTCTTTCTTCTCTCGCTCGCCATGTTTGTATATATATATATGCGCGCGCTAGCGTTGCGCGTGTGTGTGTGTGTGTTGTGTGTGTGTGCTGTGTGTGTGTGTGTTGTGTGTGTGTGTGTGGGTGCGGTGTGTCGTTGTGAGTGTGTGTGTGTGTGGTGTGTGCTTGTGTGTGTGTGCCTGTGATTGTTGCGGGCGCGCTGTGTATGCTGTGTGTGGATGTTGTCGCGCGCGCGCGTGTGTGTGCTGCGTGTGTGTGTGTGTGGTGTGTAGTGTGTGTGCAGGCGCGCTCGCGTTGTGTGTCGTGTGTGCGCGCGCGTGGTGTCGTGTGTGTGTGTTGTCGTGTGTGTGTGGTGTCTGGTGCGTGCGTTCGCATGTGTATGCGTATTCTTATTCTTGCAGCAGAACTCGCAGCGGTGTGTGTGGCTGGCGTGTGTATGTGTGTGTGTGTGTGTTTGTGTGTGTGCGCGGGCGCGCTGCGCGTTGTGTGTGTGTGCCGTGTGTGTGTGTGTGTGTGTGTGTGTGCGCGCCCCGCGCGCGCGCGTGTGTGTGTGTGTTGTGTTGCGCTGCTGCAGGCGCCGCGCGTGTGTGTGTGTGTGTGTGTGTGTGTGTGTGTGTGTGTGTGTGTGTGTGCGCGTGTCTGTGCGTGCGTTCGCATGTGTATGCGTATCTATTCTTGCATGTGTGTGGCTGGATAAGTGGGTGGCGGGGTGCCGTCGGTCGGAGGTATGCGTGCAAGGACAAACGCCTGCAATGTGAGAACATTTCACGTACCGAATCTGAGAGTGAAGCAATTACGCGTGCGGCGAATGTTGGAGAGGTATACTCACAGCAGCCGCTTGCGGTCGGCAGTGAAGCTCCTTTTACATAATATCGTTACCATCTAGCAAGTTGTTTACCTCTCTTTAATTATTTTAGTATTTGTTTATCATTTGTACTCGACGATCACACATGGCGTAGTTATTGCGTGCGGTGTCGGCGGTGAAAATAACTCGGGAGTGTTTTCCCGAGGCGCTATTCCACGTCGCGCGCACCAATCACGACATAATCGCATTTTCCATCTAGAAATCTCAGACAATAATGATTGCTGAACGCTTACAGAATTGCTAAATTGCATCGCATCGCGATTCTCCTCCGAGATTAAGCAGACTGATAACTAATAGCGTTCGTTTCTTCGTTTATTCGTAAATCTGCAAAATCGCATTTAAACATCACTCTCACTGCCGCTCGCATCATGAGATATAATTAACAAAATGGCGGCGCGCGTCTAACATAGCATTGATCACGCTGATAAGAATCCACGCGACACTCTATTCTTCCGCTATTTAAAGAGAAACTTTAGTAAGAAGCGGACGGAGCTTAGTGAAACGAAACCGAGAAGATCGATGTAGTAATCAATAATGCAATAGCATCACATCGAATGCTTGCCGCGTATATTGACACACGCATCGATGAGAGCTGTAACCCGATAACGATTCCGATCGATTCCCACGAGAAACGCATTGACGTCGTCTGTTATCGTTACAGAGACGGCCCTTAGAGGTTATCATATATTATTTCTTGCTAACGTATATGAATAATAACGGTGTAAATATGCGCTATAAACTAGTATTAAAGGCACCGAATTTTGTCGGTCGTCGGCAGTAAATATTGATTCAATGCTTGTGCTGAAGTCTGAACGACGCTGCTAAGAAAGAGACAGTCGTAAATCAGACCAGAATGTCGCAATAACGTTACGTCATGAAGCGGTCGTCGGAAGAAAAGATGCAGATTTTACGATAATCGTTAATCGATAAACATTTAATCATAACTTTTACGAGAAATCGTAGCACAGCTAGAATTCTTGTGACTATTTAAAGGAACATGAGTACATTACACAGCGTAATGGCATTTGCAGTGAGATCGTACATATCTCGACTCAATTGTATAATACTTTGTCGACTAGCGCTTTATTGAAATTCGGCTATAGAATTACATGACACAAAACAAATGAAAATAAAGAACAATTTAAAAAAACGTCGTGTCGTAAACGTTTACATTGTTACACGTTACAGTTATAGGAAGCTTTGGGGTGTGAGTGTACACACACACGCACACGCGCACGCGCACGAACACACACACACACGCGCGCGCGCACACACACGCACGCACGCACGCACGCACGCACGCACACACACACACACACACACACGCACGTATACAGAGCGCCGTAAGCTACTGGACACTGGTCAAGCTATATCGACGACGTGGGTATAACCAACGTGGTCAGCTGACCATTCCAACTTGTTGATCACATCAATGGATCAGCTGCCCGTCATTGTGCGGCGATTTTGGCGCTGTCGTGCCGCTATTGTGACACAGGGCTAATCGCCTCGATTGAGCTGCGAACAGGCAATGCCGGCCGGCGGTCAATTGACACCTGGGCGCGGATTTCGCGCGAAGTTTCAGTGGTACGTCTGTTGTTCGCGGATCATTTCACAGCTGCTCGATAAATCACTGCTGACACAGCGGTCTCTCTTTCTATTTCGCGCGCGCGGTCTCTCTCTCTCTCTCTCTCTCTCTCTCTCTCTATCTTGCTTTCTGCCTCTCTTTCTATCTCTATCTCTCTCTCTCTCTTGCTCGCTCTCTTGCTTGCTTGCTTTTTATCTTTTCTCCTCTCTCTCTCTCTCTCTCTCTCTCTGCGCGCTCTCTCTCTCTCTTCTCTCTCTCTCTCTCTCTCTCTCCTCTCTCTTCTCTCGCTTCTTCTGTCTCTCTCGCTCTCTCTCTCTCTCTCTCTCTCTCTCTCTCTCTCTCTCTCTCTCTCTCTCTCTCTTCTCTCTCCTCTCGCTCTCTCTCTCTCTCTCTCTCTTTCTCTCTCCTCTCCTCTCTCTCTCTCTCTTTCTCTCTCTCGCTTGCTCGCTCTTTTTCTCGCACGCCCGCCATCTCTCTCGCGCGCTCTCTCTCTTTCTATCTATTTCTATATCTCTCTCGTTCTCGTTCGCAGTCTCTATCGCTCTCTCTTACTTGTTCATTCTCTCTTTCTCGTTCGCAGTCCCCCTCGCGCGCTCTCTCTCGCTCGTTCACCATCGTCTCTCTCTCTCTATCCCCCAACCCACCACCCTACCTTCGCGCAGCACCACTGGGCTGCACACTATTTTAATCAAGCTCTTGGGTGCTCGCCTAAGCTAGGCAGCTTAACTGTTGCTCGCCCACCGGAAAACCGAACGCCACGTAATGGAATTATGACGTAATGTTTCCGCGATCGCGCAAATTGGCAGCGTGCCAAGACGACGGCGCGGGTTCGAGATGGAGCGTTAGGTCGTGACGTAACAGTTGCTGACTATAGCGCGCGCGACCCCTGTGGTCGACACTGCACAACACAGCACAACACTGCACAACACAGCACAACACTGCACAACACAGCACAACACTGAGGCCTGATCGCGCGGAAGCTCGTCTTACAGTTGCTGCTAATAGTGATAAACTGATAAAGATGGGAGATTCCACGTCGACTCAAAGGAAAGAAAAAAATGCACCAGAGAACGGCTAATGTTGAAAACTCGTTTATTATGAACGACATTTGATTTCATATGCCTCGAAGATGTATACTCTCGCATACACACACAACGTATTAGCCCTGTAGCGCCTCCCAGCAACGCTCACGTCTTCATACAGGGCTATTAACCAGTCACGCCCACAGCAGCATACGGTGCCGCCATCTGCAGGGCAAAAATTACTTAAATCACGACACCGAAAGAATAATAAATAGCCGTTTGTGGCAATAGCAGGTGTGAACGTGAAAACGGAAAATGCCACGTACTGTAACTAAGTAATAAATTATTACATAATCAATGATATTAATTATTACACTGTTAATATTCTTGGAAGGTTTACACGAATATTACCTTAATTTTACTCAAAACAAAGCTACACGCTATAACTTAGAGCATGCATGCAGACATCACAGTGTATGATATATACCTGTTACTATCTCTCTCCCCTATACACACATACACACACAAACGCAGGCACGCACCCCCCATACACGTCACAGTAAATCACGTACCGGTCAAAGACATACGCATTTGGTTCAGTCGCACGTACGCACGCACGAACGCCCAAATGCAGGCCTGCATGCCCGCACGCACACACGCGCACGCACGCACGCACGCACGCACCCCCACACCTGTCTCTGTCACAATAGCTGTCTCAATTCAACAGACCCGTCAAGATTATAGAACACTGTATGGTCACAGTTTCATCTCTCTCTAATCCAATCACACATAGCTGCTATTAACATACAACTCGCGCACGCGCACGCACACGCACACTCTAGCACGCACACGCACACTCGCGCACGGGCGCACGCACACACACGCTCGGGCGCACGCACACTCGCGCACGGGCGCACGCACACGCACGCTCGGGCGCACGCACACGCACACTCGCGCACGGGCGCACGCACACTCGCGCACGGGCGCACGCACACTCACGCACACACGCATGCACCTGATACCGCGGACATAGGCTCGTGGTGCGTGTACGTATCAGAGATGCAGATCTAATCAATCACACAGTAACAATTTTATTATTAGGAGCGTTCACAGCGGAACGAGCGGAATGCACGACTTCCTTAAATGTCGATTTTTATACATTCGACTTTCGAACGCTACCTTTCGACTTCCCGCCACCGTCTTTGGAATCACTAATTAACATTATCATGTGACATCGCTACAGAAAAACAGCATATTTCGCGACGCAATTTCAAAAGGAATGCGACAACGCTCACAAACGTTGATATAAGTCGCGAACGAGTGATTGGCATCTGAGATTCGGACACTAATCAATACAGAACATAATTAAAGAAGTACATAAACATAATTAAGCATAGAATATAACCTCTTCTACCATCTTAAAACAAAATACTGAAGGTACACGAGCTAGTTATTTAGGTGCCCTCCGGCACTCTCAGTGTGACATTTACAAGTGCTATGCATACATGTAAGTGTTCCAGTGTATGGACGATACATACGTGTACTATCCGTTTACAAACAGCGCGCACAAACCCTTGCAATCACCGGTGTGTCATGTTAAACAGAGAGAACCTGAGGGCGACTAAATTCCAGATTGCGTTTCTTTAGCATGTGGTGTGCTGCTGCCAAAAATCACAACTCTACGTACAGTTCAAGTGCCAACACGTTTCTTCACCAATGTGAATTTACGTCGGGAAGCTACCAGTCGAAGCAGCAAAAAGAAATTGTTCACACACACACACACACACACTAGCCCAACTTAAGCATATATATGCAGAAGAAAAATTCACAGCTCGGAAACACGAAGTTGCCAACCGTCGACGTCGGGTGGCAGCACCGACTGGTGTCGCGTGACAAACGGGAATTGTACATAATAGTGTCAACTTGTGTCGCGAAGTTTTCACACGCATGTCGCTCACTGGCACATGCTCGTCAATGCAAGAGTCAAAGTCCAATCATTAACAAGCTCCCCCTCCCATTGACCTATCCATCTGAGTGAGATGGCGATGACCTCTTTGATATTCTTGCTACGTTGGTCACACTCGCCCAGTTTCTGTTTTTTTACGCATGTATATTAAATCATCAACTCTGGGGCTCTTAGAAGAGTTTTAGAACACATATTGCTGATTGCAGTAAGCTGCCTGCCACATACTCCATCTGGATAAGTCAATGAGTAAAAACATGCACGTGTTTAATTTTGTGTGCACATTACTTAAATGACGCCACCAGAAAAACAATAGGCCATTCATTCATTGCGCATCACCGCCGCACGACGGGAGAGCGTAATTGTTACACTACGAGTTATCGTTTTCCGTCCCTCTGCAATTGACTTCGCGTACATACAAAATTTACAGCCACTCACACTGCCAATGTTTATATATGTTTTAGAGAAAAAAACATCCAACACGTTGCTATGCTGGTGTATGATTTGAGACTTCACAAACCTCACAGCGCATCATATCTGCTTTACTTTTCCTCGAGTTGTCCAAGGTCGGAAGCACCAGGTAATGATGCAGATATCACATTACGCCAACTTGTTAATTAACGCTGAGCAAGAGATCCTGAAAAATTTGACAGATGGAAACGTTTTAGATTCTGGTTAAGTACGTGCAAGTTTACTCGAAATTGTCCAGTTAGTAGAATGTCCTAGAAATGCTTTCAGTTGGCTCTGCAGCTGTTGCTGCTGCTGCTATTACTGCTACTGCTGTTGTTGCTGCTGCTGCTGCTACTACTACTGCTACTGCTGATGCTGCTGCCGCTCCTACTGCTGCCACCACTGCTGCTATTAGTACTACTGCTACGATTATGTCAATCACTGCTAAGCTGCTGCTATTTTACTTGCCCTACTGCCGTTTTCTACTCTAAACAGATAAGCGGACCACCGCACAGGCATGGTTAATCACACTAACGAGCTCAGCATCGTAACGAGGGAGCGAGGTATCGCTATACTCACGTCGTCCGACTCGTCCGACGTCTTGTGGTAGGAGGCGGGGAGTCTCGCTGGCCCTGCAATGTCACCGCCGCCGCCGCTCGCCTGCGTGACGAAACACAGATGTGAGCCACGCGACAACCGACACGACTGCTTCACACACACAACGTTACAGAAGGGGAAGTGAGAAACGAACAATCGGATTTCCGTAGACGCGCGTCTCGGCCTATGTGAAATAACACGCCAATGTCAATTTATGTTCTACCAAGGAAGATTGTTAGGAGAGTGGGCGCGAATAATCTTTCTAGTGGTGTAGGGTGGAAGCCATCCGAACGCTCTCTCTCTCGCTCTCACGCTCTCGCTACCTCTCGCTCTCACTCCCTCGCTCTCTTTCTCTCTCTGAAACCCTCATGCCCACGGTGCCACATCGGGTTAGCCCTAGATATCTCTCTTAAATGTAGATGGTCGCCCAAGTAGGGTTAGTCTTAGAAACCACTCATACAGTGTAGTAAGAATCTAACATACATACGCATGTGTGAACTGCTGTTTTGCCTGCTATGTTGCTATGTATATATAATTACATATCTCGCTTGATACCTTTCTCTGTATCTAAATCTTTAGATTTCCCTTTGAATCTTACTCCATATTTGACACGATTCCAGTACTACCAATCACGACTCGTGAGGACGAGAAATTATTGCGTTTAACGATCAAAAGTTCTCAGAATGAACAAATGAAAAAAATCCAAAACGACATATTAGTCTCACCAATCCCTCACAGTATTCCTCGTATGTTCCTTGTATTCCTCCGTCTCATGTATACCCTGCACAGTGAGAAATCGTACGTACATGTAAAGGTGTGTTCTCTCGGGACCTACCTTGGCTTCAGCGGTGGTGTCCTCTGCGTCTGCATCCCTGAACGGCTCAGCACAGCTCGTACTCATCAACGAAGTCTGCTCATCATCCGAACCAAAGTCAACGGCGACCTGCTCACCTTGGCTGAGTCTCGCGTAACGATACCGAGCCGTGCTGCGAGAAAACAAGAGAGCAACCAAATCGAATGGATCAATCGACAGGGTAACCCGTAGAAAGACAGCAGCAAACGATTGTCTCGAAACTCTCGCTATTAGGTCGTTACGCTTGGATATGTAATTAAAAAAACATTTCTTTTGATATTATCAGGAAATCTGATGAACTCACTCCAAGACCATGCATGGACTGCTGATGTCAGATTTCTGAGGACAGATGTGGATGAAAGTGTACTTACAAGTGACTATAATATGCACAGTCATAATTTCAATTAGCAAACTTACCTGGACTTTATCTGCTGCAGTTTCTTAATGAAGACGATGACCATACACAGTGAGAGGCAGACGACAACGATGACAATCATCGCCACGATCGCATCGTTCATCGCCTAGGCAACGGCAAAACAAAGCAGAAGTTCATCAGCTAGGCAATGGCAAAAACGAGCCTAAAATGCTCAATTTCCATGAGCACGAGACTTTAGCCGTAGCTTTTAGAATTCAGAACAAACTCTCGCATGAAGCATCATATTTCACTATCTCTCAGACAAGATTGACCGAAACCAGATGGAATTAAATTTTCAGGACGATCCGAAGCAATAGCTTATTCATCATAATATTCCAGGGTCATAGCCAGTATTAGCCAGGACTTTCCAAGATTATAGCCAGGAGTTTCCAGGCCTAAAAATCTGCATCTTAAAATTTTAGGACTTTTCAGGGTGTTTAGTATCAAAAATCCTGCCTTATTGAAGCCAGTCGACTTACCGACGAGTCATTAGTGGCGACATGGTTGCTCGGTGCTGCAACAAACTTCTCCTCGTCATTGCAGGTCTTGTTGAGATCGACGAACAATGACTTTGGCTGCCAGCCTCCCTCACACCTGTCACCTGCTATCTTCCTGTACCTGTAGCCAAGGTAGATGAACGATCAAACCCGAGTCCCGCACACACTTGATCTTGCTGTCGCTCTTTCTCCACTCCTCTCTCTCTCTCTCTCTCTCTCTCTCTCTCTCTCTCTCTCTCTCTCTCTCTCTCTCTCT